ATCTTTTTGTAAAGAAAACAAAATTTTTTTTTCTTAATAGTCTTATGAACGTGGACTTGGCGCGATTTTTTTTACAGTGAAACTGTTTTTGTTCAGATTAATTAATAGCAATTACTTCATAATTATTTTTAATTTTTTAAATAAATTTTTTTTCGCCTGATTAATATGGGAATCTATGTAGAATCCTACCCTGGATATCCTATATGGATTTATTATTATAAAACAGAAAAATAAATTTAGTTTGAATAAAAAGTCCTCAGAGACGTTTTATTACTCTGAGATTAAATAACGAGAGCCCTCACTCTTAAAATGAATTATCGAGGTTCTAATGGACCGGAAATTATCGGATTTTCCTCGTTACAATTTATATAAATCCTTTTGTCATTTTTTACTCAGCTTAGTAATACGCTCGTCAATTATATACTTTACCAAGTTAAACATAGTTTCTTTAATTCACTAATTATTATTATTATTATTATTATCCTCCGGATAAAAAATAGAACTTGTGATTAAAAAATGAACTAAAATGGTAAATTTCTGGAGTCTGGAGGTGACTGTGTTTGATTGGACGTAAATAAATCAGTATGACGAACGACTGGAAGCTCCTCGCTGGTTTAATTTGACAGACCCTAGCGTTAACTTAATTACATTCCATACCATTCTCATTGCAATGTCTTCAGTCCGAGTTATGCTTCTGTGGTAATTTCCTTCCTGATTATTGAATTCAATGTTTTACTTAGAAAAATTCATATCTTTCATTTCGATTTTTACTTTCTAGCTCTTGATGGATAATTTTATCTTACAACTGACATCTCCTGTTATTTCCACGACAAAGAGTATACAAGTGTGTCCTACTCAAGTATCTGGGGGGCTTTATGCTTCGTCAGGACTATGCTAATGCAAGGACTTGTATACTTGTCTCTTGTCACTCTTATATTTTCGAAATTGCATTACCAGCAGATTTTGTATATATTTATATATAAAAAACACTATTCGGCTGGATTTGATATGGTAAAGTGGATTTCTTTAATAAAGAAGGAATAATAATCAATTATTTTTACTATCCTATCAAAAAAAAACCATATAGGAATCAAGGGTAGGATCCTACATAGATTCCCATGTTAATCAAGCGAAAAAAAATTTATTTAAAAAATTAAAAATAATTATTAAGTAATTGCTATTAGTTAATTATTAATTGAAATAAATTGTGAAAAAGTGATTTTGTAATTTTATCTAATGAAAAAACTGCTGGCGTCTGATGGACTTGAACCCGGTACCTCATGGTTGACAGTCTTCTACGCTACTCACTGGCCTAAGTCACGTTCTTACAAGGTCTATGGTTATTCCACACTTTTAAAAATTTCTATTGTAATTTTACAAGAAATGTATTGGAAGTTAATACGCAAAACATTCATTTAATATTACAATCGGGTATAGTAATATTACAAAACATATATAGATGTGAGGTTACTAATTTTACAAGGTTTTGTAATTTTACAAATATTTTTAGATTAGCCAAGTTTGTAAAATTACAATACTTTCCCTGAATTTTACTTTAATTGAAATAATAAAAAAGAAAGATTTGATTTAATATTTGTTGTCATTTTATTTTTATGAAGCGCTGACCAGATTTTGCATCTCACGTAGACCTAATTTTTACAACTCTGATGATATAAAGTGACAAATAATATTTACCCTAACTAAGAATCGAACGCGAGCCGCGCGCTTGCCAGACCGATACCTAACGCCCTACGCCGTACGACCGATAGGTCATTCAACATCTTATTATTCTTATAAGCTAATCCTATGTGGTGATTGAGCTTTACGGCTTATTATTTATTATTTACATTGTTTGTGTTATTTGATGCTGTTTATTGATGGAAAATAACTAACTTTTACACTATTTATAATTCATTGAATATTATAAAAATTAAAGTCTAACATATACTCATTGAAATATATTGATTTGGAAATGATCGTTTGAGCGTAATATTAAAATTTATAAAAGATAAATGATGCCTCGAATTTATTATTACAAATAAACTTAGACTAACAAATTAGTTAAAATAAATATCAAGGAGATTGTTGTTTTTTCGATACATCAGTCTCATTTTTGTAAAACTTAAAAGTATTGTTTTTAAAATTGGAAAACAGTCAAGTAGAATTACAATTCGTGTAATATAATTAAAATTGTCTGGTAACATTACATTGCACTGTAATTTTACAATGAAAATTGTAAAAATAAAAAAAAGCTTTTTAAATTTTTTATGAGATTATTGTAATATAAATTACAATATTTTTTTGTGATTTTACATACAATTCAGAATCAGATCACAAATAATGTTTGCAAAATTAAAAAGCTTTTTCTTAAAAATTGACCAATTGTAATATTACAATGCGTGTTAGGTTTATACAAGAAGATTGTAAAATTACAATCTTAGTAGATTTCCTAAAAGGTGTTGGAAAATTACATTAATTGTATTTTATTTCGCATTGCTATCCACTGATTTGTAATTTTACTTATTATTTGTTTTGTTATATGATTGTAATTTTACAAAAATTTTTAACAGTGTAGAAAAGGACTCAACTATCGAACTTGCTCAAACCTTGAAAAAGATTGCTACATGGATTACTATCCACATGCATAACGTCCTACGTCAAATATCTATTTTTATCTAGCCGACAATTTATACCCAATGCACATTAATCAATGTTTTATTATAAAATCCAATTTATCCATTTCATCTTTCGAATGAGTTTATAGAATAGATATTAAAAGTTAGACCGTGTAAAACAGAATAACTAACAAGTACTGCGACATAGTACTACTATACGTAGCATCGAGAGTAAAGGAGCATGTTCATCAGAGCCTGTGACACTTTGGATGCCCTAACGCGTCAGGCGTTAAAGCTTTTCAGTTCAGATAGTGGTATGTATAATCTATAATACCACACCATAGCAGCGGCTTTGACCGTTCAAGCGGTTCTGCATCGAGTTTACTCGTTCGCCAACTAAACATTTTATCTTCCTGTGTGTTTTATAATAACTCCATTGAACCTTTGCTTTTCGAATGATATTTTATCGGTAAAACCTCACTCGCCAAATATCTTTTAAATACAACAAAGAGAATTGTCGGTACAATAGTTGGCTAGAAAAAGTAAATCAATACTTTTATTTCTTCACTCGACTATCTCAAATACCTGCGGAAAATTAAATTGTTTTAAAAAATAGAAAAAAGAAATTAGACTTGAATGTTTAAGGATAAAAAAAAAAGTCTCGAGAGCTGGTAAGTCGCTGAGGAAATGATCTTAACGAGATGAGTTGATTCTTGACGACTAAATTACGTAAAACTATTACGGAGAAAAAAAGGAAAGAGTCTAACGTCCTAATCGACTTATTCAATTTCTTTTTATTGTATTTATATTTACTAAAAAAAAATTAGTTGAATTTTTATGGTCATGTATCTCTAGGTACATAATTAAGAAATGAGCTTGTATCTTGTGAACTATTGACATTTTTAAAGATATAAGCTCATCCTGATGTTACACTCATCGAGACCTTTCATTTGAATACCCACATCAATTTTTCATATATTTTATATATTTATATATATCATATATATGTATATATGAAAAATATATCAAAAATGCATGTAGGTACTCAAACGAAAGCTCCTGATGAGTGTAACATCGGGATGAGCTTATATCTTGAAAATATATACTATATATATGTACATATGAAAAATATACCAAAATTTAACATGTCATTAAATGAAAAAAAAAATTATTTAAAAAAAATTGCATTTTTTTCATTTTTAAAAATTTTTTTGTGATAAATTTTTTTTAAATGATTAAATATATGCTAAATTAATTTTCATTAATTAAGAAATGACTTTGTATCTGGTGAACTATTGACATTTTTAAAGATATAAGCTCACTCCGACAATATACTCATCAAGAGCTTTCATTTGAATACCCACATCAATTTTTCATATATTTTATATATTTATATATATTATATATATGTATATATGAGAAATTTATAAAAAAATGCATGTGGGTACTCAAATGAAAGCTCTTGATGAGTGTAACACCGGGATGAGCTTATATCTTTGAAGTATATATTATATATACGTATATATGAAAATTTAATATGTTATTAAATTTAAAAAAAAAACTTGTTTTCAAAAAGTTCTTTCATTTGAGTACCAACATTAATTTTTCATATATTTTATATATTTATATGTATTATATATATGTATATATGAAAAATATATAAAAAAATGCATGAAAGCTCTTGATGAGTGTAACACCGGGATGAGCTTATATCTTTGAAGTATATATTATATATACGTATATATGAAAATTTAATATGTTATTAAATTTAAAAAAAAAACTTGTTTTCAAAAAGTTGCATTTTTTTCATTTTAAAATTTTTTTTTTGCCTCCATTTATTTGTAATAAATTTTTTTAAATGATTAAATATTTACAAAATTAATTTTCATTAATTAAAAAATGACCTTGTATCTTGTGAACTATTGACATTTTTAAAGATATAAGCTCATCCTGATGTTATAGACATCGAGACCTTTCATTTGATTACCCACATCAATTTTTCATATATTTTATATATTTATATATATTATATATATGTATATATGAAAAATATATAAAAAAATGCATGAAAGCTCTTGATGAGTGTAACATCATTATGAGCTTATATCTTTAAAAATGTCAATATTTAAGAAAGTACAATGTAATTTAACAAAATTCATTATTTAATAAAGCAAAATTCTATTTTATTTATAATTCACAAGTCACAGCAGTCACGCAGTGACTGCAAGGTTGCTAGTTTATAATAAAAATAATCTTTTTGATAGTAAATAGCAAGTTTTTATTTTTATACTTAACTCCTACAATCTTCTCACCAATCAAACCTTTATTGAAGCTTTAAAAGTGTAATTATAGAAGTATAAAAAAAAAGGATAAGATAATTTTAAATTAAGGAATATTTGCAAGGTAATCTTTGACGTGAGAAGGATCGAGTCGTCTAAAACCGCTGGCATCGCAAATTCCAACTTCAATATTATCAGCAGTCATCTGTCCCTCAAACCCTTCCTTCAACGTCAGAATAGCAGTGTGTACAGCATCATCCAACTCGAGATCTTCGCTGTAACGTTTCTCGAGGAAAGTTTTTCCGTTGATGAAATTTTTTCCCATTGCTGTTGCACGCCAGGCAAAGTAAGCGCCTGATGGATCGCATTGGAATAAATAAGGCTTACCGTTGTCCCAGCCGCAGATTAGGAGTGATACTCCAAATGGTCTTACACCTCTGAAAAATATTTAGTAATTATTAATTAAGATACTTAAAAATTTTATTGAAAAAATAAATTATAATAAAGTGCATTTAAATAACGACTCTTGTTAAATTACACTGTACTTTTTTAACTTTTGACATTTTTAAAGATATAAACTCATTTCAATGTTACACTTATCAAGAGCTTTCATTTGAGTACCCACATGCATTTTTGATATATTTTTCATATATTCATATATATAATATATATTTTTAAGATATAAGCTCATTTTGATGTTACACTCATCAAGAGCTTCCATTTGAGTACCCACATGCATTTTTGATATATTTTTCATATATATATTATATATGATATATATAATTATATAAAATATATGAAAAATTGATGTGGGTACTCAAATGAAAGGTCTTGACGAGTGTAATGTCAGGATGAGCTTATATCTTAAAAAATGTCAATAGTTCACGAGATACAAGGTCATTTCTTAATTATGTATCTAAAGAAAGCTCTAAAAAAAATAAATTCAATTTTTTTTTTTTTTTTTCAAGTAAAAATAAAAAACATTTTACGTGTCTGATAAATTAAAAAGTGTCATATAATATTTTTTTTTACTTTTCGCGTAATAAAATTAAATATTTTTTTTTTTTTCAATTTTTAAAATTTTTTTCTAGAACTAAAATAATATTTTTAAAAAATTCTAGGTATTATTTTTTAAATTTTCTTAATATAGAATTTCAATTTTTAATTATTTGTAACAAATTTTTCACTAAAAAAAATTTTATTTTATTTTAAAATTAATTTTAATTTAAAGTTTCTTAAATTATAATTTAAAAACTTTTTCAAATTTTACTCCAATTAATTAAAAGTAAATAATTTACCCAGATTGAGTGTACTCTTGCATGAGCATAGCAACTCGTTGAACCAACTGAGCAGTAGGAATAGGCTCGCGGTAGACCAAGAAGTACTGCTGGGCCATTTTCCTAGCTTGCTTGACAAGCAGCCGGTAATCCGGACCCATTCCACTGTAGACCATTCCAATGTGCTTGGTGATCATCTCAACCTTGCTGAGACTGTGCTCATCATACAAAATAGACTTGTGTTTATTTTCCGTAGCCAGGACTATTCCATTGCAGGCTTTTATTCCAACACTTGGTGCTCCAGCGGCGACTGCTGCCAGTGCATATTCTATTTGCACTAATTTACCCGAAGGGCTAAAAAAAATTAATTTATTAATTTCTTTATTCTTAAAATTAAAATTTTTTTAAATAAAAAAAATTTATTAGCTGTTAATTTAATTTTTATTATTTTTTAATTAATATTATTGTTATTAATAATACCAATAATAAAATTTTAAAAATAATCATAATAATCATTGAAAAAAATTTTAACTCATAATTATTAGTATTATTATTAAAAAAAAAAAAAATTTCTATAATTTAATAATAATAAATCAAAAATTTTTTAATTATTGTTAAATCAGCTGTTTTTTTTTTTAATTTTTTTAATTAAAAAAAAATTATCAAATGTTAATTTAATTTTTATCATTTTTTATAATTATTTTTTTAATAATTTTTTAATTAATATTATTATTAATTAAATATGAAAGACTTTTAATAATAATTATAATAACAATGACAATTTGAAAATTTTTTATTATTGAAAATTTTCATAATTCATTAACAATAAAAATTTCAAAATAATTAATAAATTATGAAAAAAAAATTTTAAACTAATTTGAAAAATTTTTTAAGTTATTATTATTAAGGAAAAATTTTTATTTATTAAAAATAATTGTAATTTTTATTATTTTTTAAAATTGAGGTTAAAAATAAGACATTTAAAAAATCTCAAAACTTGTCAAAAAAAAATAACAAAAATTTTACTTACAAATTTATAATGGAAAATAATAATTTTTTTTTTTAATTAAATTTTTATAATAATAAATTAATAATTACCTAAAAGTTGTTAAAGAAAAACTGTATCTTTCAGACGCCATGACAATCACTTTTCACAATTTGTGTCTAGTCAGTTAACGCTCTGAAGTTTAACTCAAGTGCCGCGTGCCGGTAAGTTACTAAAAATCCCGCCAGGCGGCAGCACCTGTCAGTTCTGTCAGAATAATCATAACAATGCAACGTTTTAATTTTTTTCCCTTTCAGTTGGAGAAATTGCTGATGGCTGGTGTCAAACTTCAGTGAGGTTAATATTGATAATTAAAATAAACAACCGGCTACAATTATTTTATAACTTTTTATAAAATAAATATTTAAAAGAAAGAAATTATAAATTAAAATTGTAAGTATTGAATTTTTTTTTTAATTAAAAATCTTTTTTTTTATTAAATTGTATATTTTTTTGGAGTGTAAATAGAAGTATTGATTTTTATGAGAGTGCATTTTAGCAAACACTTGATAAAATTTTTAATTTATTAAAAAAAAAATTAAAATTAATTCTAGTAAATTATTAAAAATTTTTTTTTTATTTATTAAATTAATTAAAGCTAAAAAAAAGTTTTTAATTAATTTTTGCTACCAATTTTTCTTAATAATAATATTAATAACAATAATAATAATAATAAATTATAAAAAAAATTTTTAGCTGTTAGAAAATTTTTTAAATAAATTTTTGCTACAAATTTTTTTTAATTATAATAATAATAATAACAATAATACTAATAATAATGATAATAATATTAATAAATTATAAAAAAAAATTTTTAACTCTAAAAAATAAAAATTATTAAAAAAAAAAAATTGTAGGTAATTTTAAGTGCCAAAAAATTTTTTTAAATTATCAGCTGTATAATTTCATATTTAAAATCTTTTGTAGATAAAAATGGTCAGAGGAAGAGGAGGAATGATCCGAGGGCGTGGAGGAATAGGCCGTGGAATGGGTTTCATAAGAAAGCAATTTTTGCTAAGACATTTATTTGACTACACACTTTGCGAAGCGGCGTTTCCACCCGTTAAACCCATGCCGGATGAGTCGGACTTTACTATGGCTTTGCTGAAGAAAAATTCTGACATGTGTCCGACTCCTAAGGAGCAGACTGCAATTTTGGATCTTACTGTTAAATTGCAGAGTGTTTTGGATAATTTAATTGTTGCTCCGGGAACTTTTGAAGCTTGTGTAAGTAAATGTTTTAATTATTAGATATTTGGGAATTTTTTGGAAAATTTTGATAAAGACATTTTAATAATAATAATAATAATAATAATAATAATAATAATAATAACTTGGAAATTTTTTGAGTTAATATTATTATTATTATTATTATTATTATTATTATTATTAAAAATTGTAAAATTCAACAATAATAATAATTTAGAACATTTTACAGTTCCTATTGTTATTAAAAATTTTTTTTAATATAATAATATAGATAAATATTTAGGCCTCATTTGAAAATTATCTCTAGATACATAATTAAGAAATGATCTTATATCTCGAGAACTATTGACATTTTTAAAGATATAACCTCATCCTGATGTTACACTCATCGAGACCTTTCATTTGAGTACCCACATCAATTTTTCATATATTTTATATATTTATATATACCATATATATGTATATATGAAAAATATATCAAAAATGAATGTGGGTATTCAAATGAAAGCTCTTGATGAGTGTAACATTGGAATGAGCTTATATCTTTAAAATCGTCAATAGTTAAGAAAGTACAAGGTATTTTAACAAATATCTCGTGAACTATTGACATTTTTTAATATATAAGCTCATCCTGATGTTACACTCATCGAGACCTTTAATTTGAGTACCCACATCAATTTTTCATATATTTATGTATATTATATATATGTATATATGAAAAATATATCAAAAATGCATGTGGGTACTCAAATGAAAGGTCTCGATGATTGTAACATCGGGATGAGCTTTTATATTAAAAAATGTCAATAGTTAAGAAAGTACGGTGCAATTTAACAAAAGTCGTTAGTCAATAAAGCTAAATTTTGTTTATTTATAGTTCACATTTTTTTAAGCTTAGAATATATTTAAAAATTACCAAAAAAAAAAAATAACTGCAATTAATAATTTAATTACAGCAATTGGAAGAAGTAAGAAAAGTCGGTAGCTTCAAAAAAGGAACAATGATAAAAGGCCACAACATAGCAGACATTGTTGTGATCTTAAAAACTCTCCCAACAAAAACAGCCGTAGAAGCTCTTGGCAACAAAGTCTACTTGGATTTAAAGACTGTTAATCCAAAAGACGTGTTCAAGCTAACCCAGACCGAGCGTGGATTCGACATTGCCAACAACGAAGCAACAGTAAGAGTTCTGATAACAACTCTGCACCAAAATCTCCGAAAGCTGGAGTCTGATCAGCACATTGATGTAAAAATCTGCCAAGGACATTTGGCCGCGATAAGACACTCGCGTTGGTTTGAAGAGAACGCTCACCATTCCAGCATCAAGATCTTGATTCGGTTGTTGAGAGACTTGCGGAGCCGGTTCGAAGGTTTCGAACCTCTTTCTCCTTGGATGCTTGATTTGCTGGCTCATAATGCTATCATGAACAATCCTGGGAGACAAGCTTTGCCAATTAATCAAGCTTACCGACGAGTTCTTCAACTTTTGTCTTCTGGATTATTTTTACCGGGTTCAGCAGGTTTGTTTTTTTTTTAATTTTATATTATTAAAATATAAAAATAAGTATAACTCATAAAATATTAATTAGGAAAAAATTATAAGAGTCTAAAATTGTAGCTTAGAAAATTTCCTATCAAAAATATTTTTATAGTATATGGATGATTCTCTGTAAGGACGTCTTAAATCTGTACAAAATTGTCCGACCAAATTATTTTTGATTTTAGTAGAAAAAAAATTAACAAGGGCTACAAAACTATCTTAATCATAATAAATAAACAGATTTAATTTTTGCTTTTTCGATATTTGTGTATCTTTTGCCATATAACATGACAGGGGACTGTTTTTTTTTTTTTTATCAAATTGAGAAAAATCAAGCAAACTATTTCAATGCATTCAACTTGTCAAGTTCTCAATGAATAATTACATTAATTAGAATAATATTAAGACTTATGGATCCAATTTTATAAATAAATTATAAACAAGAATAGCTATCAGGGGACTGAGTTTTGAAGTGGCCCAGACACATATTTCCAACACAAACGGTGCTTTAACACTTAATAAAATAGTGATAAAGCGCTAACGGCCCTATGGTTATTAACTTAAGGCTAGTTAGATCCTCATAAACCTTACAAAAGGTAAAATAACACGCTGGATTTTTTTTTGGCTTTGAACTTCTGGCAGGAGACTGATCTTAAAATGCCTGGGACAAACTTTGGTTTAATGAATTTAATGAAACAAAATAATTTCCGGTACTTTTTATTGAAGAAGATTGTTAGTTAACTAATTAAGTTTATAAACATTATGGACCAAATTATATATATTATGGACGAATAACTTAAATATAATCTTAAAGTTTTAATTTTGGGAATG